GTGGGTCGAGGATGGACCTCCCCTGTTCTTCCCAAGTTTCAGTCACAAATTATGAATTACCAGTACGGCTCGTGACCCCACCCACGGTCTGTGGGTGGGGGTTTCGTAGGTCACACCAGATTTTGTGTCTTTAATTTTTGAAATAAGGATTAAGGGAGGGGTTAAGGGTTAACTAAGTAAATAAGTAGGGTTGTTTAATATTATTTAAGACACCTATAAATACTTAATAAGACCCCTAAACTAAGCAAACTAACTCATTCTCACAAGACCCAAATCAGAAGCTCCCCTCTCCAAAAATTCTCTCACTAAAAACCACCATTGAAGAAGAAGAAGAACTAGGATACCAAGGCACAAGAACTCAACTTTCCTCTTCAATTTCGTGAAGGATTTCCAATAAAGGTATGGTAGTGTTAATTTATGGATAGGTTCCTGTCACGACCCAAGCCTAGTGCCTAGACGTGACCGGCGAATGGGGAACCCGAAGGAACCCCAAACAAGCCTCATAGCGTATCATTACACATCCTTGGTCGCGGAAGCAAATAAAATGACCATAAGCGATAAGCATAATTAAGGGGGGAATCGGGACTAAGGGAGCAAGAGAAACAAAAATAAGAATGATACAAAAATACCATAGATGAGTCAAGCTCAAGCATAATACACAACTTGTCCAACACCACCTCTAAACATGAGTACTTAGCGGGGGCCAAGACAAACTACCGGGCTCACCCTCATAGTCAAAACATAACTAAAAGGAAAAGTCTTATACATAGCAAAAGATCATGAGCAACGTCCCCGGAATGGAGGACTCACCAATAACCTTGATAGGAAATCGTATTAGCCACGCGGAGGAGGATGGTCAAGCGGTGCTCCGGTCCCTACATGGTGACATCATGTAGGCATAGAGTATGCGTTAGTACATTTGAATGTACTAAGTATATGGGATGCAATGCAATGCTACCATAGATGGACATCGTAGGAAAATGCATAGTAATACCCGTTAGATAGCACATTAATGAAACGATATATATATAATGACGCTTACATAAAAGTCATATTTAGTGGGACGTAGCACAAGTGTGGTGAGTGACCATCAATATAGTATTTCCAAGGCCTACCACCCCCTTGGAGAGGCGAAAGAGGTACAAACCCCTCAATGTGGTTACCCGGGCCTACCACCCCCCGAGCTAGGGACCAAGGTACAAACCCCTCGATATGGTTATACGGGCCTACTACCCCCCGTACTAGGCAACCAAGGTACCAACCCCTCGATACGGTTATACGGGCCTACTACCCCCCGTACTAGGCAACCAAGGTACCAACCCCTCGATATGGTTATACGGGCCTACTACCCCCCGTACTAGGCAACCAAGGTACCAACCCCTCGATATGGTTATACGGGCCTACTACCCCCCGTACTAGGCAACCAAGGTACCAACCCCTCGATATGGTTATACGGGCCTACTACCCCCCGTACTAGGCAACCAAGGTACCAACCCCTCGATATGGTTATACGGGCCTACTACCCCCCGTACTAGGCAACCAAGGTACCAACCCCTCGATATGGTTATACGGGCCTACTACCCCCCGTACTAGGCAACCAAGGTACCAACCCCTCGATATGGTTATACGGGCCTACTACCCCCCGTACTAGGCAACCAAGGTACCAACCCCTCGATATGGTTATACGGGCCTACTACCCCCCGTACTAGGCTTGGTCGACTCACAACACGTATATAGAGAAAATCATATACATGTGTCCATTTCATCATCATTTCAGTAATTATATAACCATCCGATTCATAGGACGTACATTGGACCTTCCATTTCCTAAGAATTCTATAAGTGGGCATTTTATCAAACACATGGTGGGCTATTGTTCATGTAGATAAAATCATGTCTTTCAAGAGTACTAAGTCCAACCAATTCCAAAATCCATATAAATCAGCCCACCAACAACATACATATATATCAACCTTCATAATTTGATCATGGAAGCATGAAAACCATAAACATCACATAATAATTCCATTTCATGATAATATGTAAAATAGACCATAATAGGATGTGTAGTAGTAATTCCATAATTCAAGAGTTCATAAGGACCCATAAACTTGAAGTAGAAATAGAGGATAAATGGTTGGACTTGTGGAAAGGAAGGTTTCCACAATCAAACCCACATACCTCAACTTGTTCACGAGTATATCAACCTTAGAAATACAATTACATAACTTATTTAACTTCTATTAGCTCAGTAATGTTGACGTAAAATAGGATCATCATCATAAGTAAGCCTAGCATGTACAAATACAACTATGCACCCAAAACAGTGAATCTGGCCAGCCTAGTACTTCATGTTGCATCTTAGATTTGAAAAGGAAAATGGCAGAACTAGGCTTTATAACCTTCATGAAAGATGTAGATACATCTCTTAGGGTTGCAAACAAACAAGGATCACCGCAAAATATATTTTGTACAAAGAGATATAGTCAAGACACTAGCCGCTGGTCATGCAGGATTTCAATTCTCGGAATCTGGGCAGAACTTGCCCTATGTTGCGTCCCATATTTCGTATCCATAACAGTTAAATTAGAATTTTACATAAACATAAAAGTTGTAGGTATACGAGTTAGCTTTCCAAATCATATTTATTCACTGCAAACTACGTTCTAGAGAAAGAGATATGCCCAAAATACCAAACACTATCCAGCTACAAAAGCAGGTTTCGTCACTTACATCCGAAAAGACTGCCATATCCTATCGATTCATATTCAACAAGGCTTCTAATGTATCAAGAAGAGGCACCTAAGTCTACCAAGTCAAGCCACACATCACATTATAAATATCCTTCACATTTCATCATCATCACATATGAACAATAATAGAGGACACACTTTCAATCACAATACAATAACACTTTAAACAAGATCACCTTGAGATCACATGAACACCTTTATATTCACAACATGATTGCCTTTACATCACATTCACATATATGATATCATGTCAACACTTCAATTCCTCATATAATGCCCTCCAAGGACCATAAAACACAATACATTCGATAAGTAAACACCTCCACCATAAGTGGATCACACATCAATCTATCACAATTCTATATCAACTCTACCTTAACAGGGAAGTTAGGTCCACTTACCCTTTTCCCCAAGCCACAATCACCATTCCTCAACTCTCCAACAATTCACAATTGATAAGCATAGATAATAATAGTAGTCAACTATTCAACTCAATCCAAGCATACTTCCATCATCATTCAATCCTAAACAATAAACCCACTTCATAAGCCAACTTTAGGAAACTTGCCAAGATATTGGTTCATGGAAATTTCTTTCTTAAAACCATCAATAGACACCATTAATAACGTAAATCATCAAAAAAAATCATTTAATGCAAGAACCCATGCTTAGAATCGAAATTAGGATTTTTGTGTTTTTGGAAGAACTTTGAATCATTTGAATTGAGCTCGTTGAAAGGAAGAATAATCAAGGATAAAGGATCTCCATACCTCTAAGTTGAAAACCCACGAGAATTGAAGAAGAAAGAACTCAAAATCTTCAATCCTAGCTCCAACTTCTTCTTCTTCCCCTCTTCTTCTCTTCTTCACTCAAGAACCCTAACTCTTACTCTTTTAAAATGGAACAAAAATGATCCACAATCAGCCTAACACAATAATATAACCTCAAAAGAAAAGATTTGTGAAAAGACCAAAATGCCCTTAAATTTCCGGACGGACTCCTTGCTAACTGCCCAACTTTCAAAGGGCATAACTCGCTCATACGAACTCGGAATCGAGCAAACTCGGTGACGTTGGAAAGATCGTTCCAAGGGCTTTCCAAAAATAACTGGAACTACTCCTGGATCATCCTGATCTAGGAGTTATGACTGCTCAAAGTTGGCCAAAAAACTCACTGATTTCCCACACTTAACCAAATTTCCAGGTTCTGAACTTTTTCCAAAAGTGACTACTTCCAATTTATGCTTAAACTTT